AGATTCTGAACACTCAGACGCCGGACCTGAAGAGATTCACACAGAGATCTGACAAGTTAATGGCAAGTTAATGTCAGTAAAAAAACAGTTTAGAGCTCGACAGTCTGTAGAAAATGAGAATACCTACAGTTTGCTGCTGTTTACTGATATATTACGCAAATCCAGAGAAAGTGCCTGAATCAGATATCTTTGGGAAAATGCTGCAGTTAAAATTAAATACTTAGTAAATTTCCATAGATTGGCTGAAAAACAGACCACTGCATTTGGGGATTTTTCAAAAATCTCTTCACAACTACACACTTCATGTGACAATCAATCAAAGCAGCGAATTCAGGCAAAATGTGCTGAGTTTGTGTCTATGTGGTTTTACTGTAATCCTGCTGGTCATCACTCTGTTTTTATAATGTACCTGCAATCTGATTACTGACTACTGCAACTGTAATGGAATACAGTGAATTTTTTTTATGTATCCTGATTATGTAACACTATTATATGTATTCTGCTACTACCCAATCTTGTCTGGCACATAACATTTTTGAAGCCAATAAAGTGGACGTTAAGATGATCTGTTGTCCTGGATGTTTCTGTCTTGATCATCATGAATTCTCAGCTTTGTCCATTTTCCATTCTTAAAATGAAATGAGAAATACGACAGACAAAATTTGAAAAGGTTCTATTTTTTTTTAACTCATTTGATCGACATGTGCGCAGGTCTCCAGCAGGGGGAGACAGAGGATCTGAATCGAGAAAGAGGTGGGAAAATAACTCAGAGCTGATAGAGGGACGTGGTGGAAAGATGACCTCACTGGAGCCACAATAGGAGATGATCATTAAAGTGTTTAATGATGATATGATATACAACACAAATACGTTACAAATCAGACTATTAAAATCTTAACAGTTTTTTTCTTGTTATTATTATTATTATTACTACAGCCATCATAGCTGTAATCACAGTGACTAAACACACACCAAAGTTATTAGGCTACTGCTAGTGTAGCTCCCAGTAAAAGGTTGACTAATCAAGCGTCCATGGGCCCTGATATGAGTTATTTTCCTGGTCACGCTCTTTTAGAGGACAGGTAACCTGCCATAAACCAGCGGACATCAGACATCCCAAAATACACTCAGAGCATGAGAGCCAGGTCAGTGTGTAAATCTCACACACATACGGACATTTCTGACTTTCTATTTATTTTAGTTTAGTAAGTGAGACATCCATCTCTGAAATTGAGGCCTGACAGTGGACAATTTATTGAAATTGGATGAAAAAAATGCACATTGCTTTTTGGGCTGAATGTGAAGTAAAGCACCAGGGAACACCAGTTGGCAAGATGTGCAGAAAGTTGTTTTAAGTGGGGGGACTGCTATCATGCCACCAACCAGAGAAACTCCTGCCCTTCAATATAAAGAGCCAATCAGCTTGCGGGTTATCCTGCAAACATTGAAGGGTCAATGATATTGTGGCACTAGTGGTGAAAACCCTCCTGTAGCGAAATGCTACAAACTATTGATGAGGTTTTTGTCAGATTTTAGTGGTGATTTCAAATATACTGTATTTCAAACATATATAACAACCAGGAACCTACAGACACTTTTAATAGGTTCTATGACTTTTTTCAACAGGGAGGCGCATTAAATGTAACTCTCTAGCCATATTATGGACAAAAAATGGATTAAGTGATGATGTCGCTAAGCAGCAGCAGCGAAAGGTTTACGTGCCGTTGGGCGGCTTCTGCCATTGTGGCAGAGAGCGCATGTGCACGTGACGTCACTGGGGCTGAGAGTGCATGTCTGCAGCCAGACTCTATTAAACACATTGGCAAACTAGTTGCTTCTCAAAGTAAAGAAAGAAATGGCTTACTGTTCCTTTAATCCACTTCATATGGAAGTTTAAATTTAATTTTTACACAAAGTTGAAATTTGAGTTGGAGTAATGGAGAAACAGGATTAATACTAAAGTCATACTAAAGTTAAAAGCACGGTTTCATCCCAAACTACTTTTTGATCAAGGCATAATATAGACCTGCCCAGCCAATCAGAACAGAGCTCATTTACATATATTAGTGTTAAAGGTAGCGATATGAATTTTTTTCTTTATTTTAAAGGCTAAGGAGACGTTGGAAATTGCAGTGTAAGAATTAATTATGACTGTTTTATAAACAGCCCTGTAATGGGCTGGCGACCTGTCCAGGGTGTATCCTGCCATCCGCCCAATGGGGATAGGCTCCAGCGCCCCACCGCGACCCAGAGGGATAAGTGCTTTAGATGATGTGTGTTTGTGTGTGTGTGTCTGTGTTTTATAAACATTAAAAACATTATATGTGGACCTCAGAGGAAAAAATGAAATGCAGCAGAAATGTAGGATATGGGCCCTTTAAAGGAATTCACCAGCTTCCGCCACATTAACAGTGATGTTCTTGTTTGCTAATATGGAGTGTGCAGAAGGGTTCTGCCTGAAGTCTCTGATCAGCTATAGTTTTAGTAGTTTTGATGTTTTGAAGGTTTGTGGCGCACATCCTTCTTTCCTGTACATGCTCTGATCACAGTGTAACTTTGTCCTTTAAGACTGGGGTCATCTGCAAACTGAAGCAAGATAACTTGGACTAAGAGTAGTGACTATACAAGGTGGGTCACTCTACAGAGATTGTATAGTGTATACATTAATGTGTAGAGTGTACAGTGTATACGTCAGTGTGTAGAGCGTATGATGTATACATTTATGAATAGACAGTATATAGTGTATGTGTTTTTGTATGTTTATACACATATTCTCTAGAGAGAACATAATGTGTGTATGTATATATATGTATGTATTGAAAACCAGGTGAGTACAGAAGTACATAATGTCACCTATTTATTATTTAGAATGGCACTCTTCTATTTTAGCTATTATGCTGTATCAGTTTTCTGCTTCACCATTTATAATGACTGAATCTCAAATCTCTCCCTCCTTCCTCTTTAATGCGCTTAGTAAGTTCTGAAATTCTGGTTTCTCCACCCAAACCGGGCTCTGTTAGTCCAGTATGGAGCTGTCCGCCCTGCTGGACCCCGAATGCCCGTTTATCAGACCCGTTATTCCCTGTCTGGGTCAGTAGTCCGTGTTTCTCCACCCAAACCGGGCTCTGTTAGTCCAGTAAGGAGCTGTCCGCCCTGCTGGACCCCGAATGCCCGTTTATCAGACCCGTTATTCCCTGTCTGGGTCAGTAGTCCGTGTTTCTCCACCCAAACCGGGCTCTGTTAGTCCAGTATGGAGCTGTCCGCCCTGCTGGACCCCGAATGCCCGTTTATCAGCCCCGTTATTCCCTGTCTGGGTCAGCAGTCCGTGGTCAGCTCCGTAGCGCTCTCTGTGCGGAGCGGAGAGCCGTTAGAGATTCAGCCGCTACTTTTCCGTTAGTTCAGTTTGTTAAAGAGTGCTGTGATTGGTCGAGCTACGCATTAGCCCCGCCCAGCTCCGTCACATCGAAACCGAAAGTAGAGATTTTCCTCAGCGCTGAGCAGCCGCGCCATTTTGTGGAGGAGAGAGAAGCGGAGCTGCGGTCTGAAAGAGGAGCGTCTGAGTCTCAGAGGAATTTCTGCTGTCGCAGCTTCACCCGAGGGCGCAGTGAGTCTGAGTTTAACACATTGAACTAAAAAAGACACTGTTATACCGCTGCTGAAAAAAGACCATTAGAAACCATTAAGATTAAAATCTAATGGGTTTGCTTTCTAATCATAACTAGTTTAATGGTTTCCAATAGTCACTAGTTTCCTGTAGAACACCTTTAGATTAGATTAAACTAGATCAGGAAACCATCAAATGCATTTAGAATCAGCCATTGATCACCTGTTTAACCAGTAGGATATCTTACATTGTGACATCAACCCATTAAAAAAGCCAAAACACATTACAAGACTATCAGGAACCAAAACGGTTTCTATGTGTTTTTTTCAGCAGGGATTATAATGTGAAAAAGAATCCAGGATCAGAGCTGCTGGATGTTCATTTGTTCCTGTATTTCTATAATGACGGGCTGTTCGCTTTAAAGCAGAATGAAGAAGAGGAGCGTTTTCTTTTATAACGGACAGCTGTAGTAATATTTTGGTATAATTGACTGTCTGGGTGTGGTCACACATAAAACCGTTATTTTATACCCACCCGTATTCCGGCAGCCCCCGCATTCTGCGCTGTGATTGACTAATGTAGTCCGGTCTCCTGTGCTGTGATTAGCTAGTGCTGTTCTGTCTGCTGTGCTGTGGTTGGCTAGTGGGATCCTTTCTGCTGTGGTATAATTGGCTAGTGTTATTCTGGCTGCTGTGCTGTGATTGGCTAAGGGGTCCCGTCTACTTTGGTATGATTGGTTTGTGGTGTTCTGTCTGCTGTGCTGTGACTGGCTGGTGGACTCCATCTTAAGTTGGACATACACTGCATGATTTATAAAATCCTAACAGATTTCTAGAGCCAGCTGCTTCCTACATAGGTCACCACATACGAATACTCCTGCAGTCCAGCAGTGCATACTAGGTCTAACAAATAGCCATTTGGGATTTAGCCACATGCACAGTTCCAGAATAAATAGTGCACTGTTTAGCTGAACAGACTAGAATTTCACTACTTAGAAAACGTGCTATATAGGAAGGATAGAGCCATTAAGAAACTGAGCTGCAGCAGCTTTGCTAACTTGTGCCACACTGCACTGAAACTACAAGCAGGCATGCCAGAGGATGTTTGAAGATGTTTTGCTAATTGAATGTAAAATGAGTTTTCCCATTGCTTATTTTTTACTCTATAGAACATCACACATCTGGCCGCTCGTTAGGCTGGCCGCAATAAGCTACACACAAACAGACCATGAAGCAGTTTTAATGAATGTAAACTTTATTTCTTTTTTTTCCATAAAGTACAGTAATTCACCACATGACAAGGCAAACAAGAGCAAAACTAGTTTGGAAGCTGTCCTTGGTGCTGAAGATGTCTCCCCAGCCTGTTATAAGCAGCAGTTAAGCATAGCTTGTTTGACTGCTATTCTTAGTAGGGCTGGGCGATTAATCGAAAAGTAATTCAAACTGACATTCAGAACCTCTAACTGACATACTCTTGCCCATGTCGGTTATTTAGACTTTTTATTCTGTTAATCCTTTCCCCATTGTGTGTGTTCATGCACTGTGCCCTTAAATACTTACTAATATCATGCGACTCCGCCACTTCCACTCTGCGACATGGATGCTAAGGCTAGGTTCACACAGCAGATCAGCTCCTAAACTGAGCCGCATGCGAAAAAGAACAGAGCTTCACGCGGCTCATCCAGAGGTAAACAATCATGACTGCCAACGAACACCAACAAAAAAATAATCGATCATTAATTGTAATCGAGGTAAAACAGGTCATATCGCCCAGCACTAGTTATTGGTGCTGAAGATGTCTGCCTTGGTCAGTGCAAATGCAAAACAACATCTACGCTCCACAAAAATAGCCAAGATATATATCTTGCAAGCAAACTGAAACTGAAACATAGAACTTAAAAAATAGTTAACCACTAATGTTCTGTCCTTAGGGTAGCAAGGTGGCACAGTGGGTGGCGCTGTAGCATCACAGACTTGTTTGATTCCCCGGCTGGGTGATCAGGTCCTTTCTGTGTGGAGTTGGAATGTTCTCCCCTGTGTGGGTTTCCTCTGGGTTCTCCAGTTTCCTCCCACAGTCCAAATACATACAGCCAGGCTGATTGGACACGCTAAATTGCCCCTAGGTGTGAGTGAGTGTGTGACTGTGTATGTCTGTCTGTCTGCCCTGTGATGGACTGGTGGCCTGTCCAGGGTGTATCCTGCCTTTCGCCCAATGACTGCTGGGATAGGCTCCAGCAACCCCCCACCCCCCACCCCTGCGGCCCAGAAGGATAAGCGGCTTAGAAAATGTGTGTGTGTGTGTGTGTGTGTGTGTGTGTTCTGTCCTTAGTTAATGTTAAATAGCACCCCTGCAAAGGAATTTTAGCCTGGCAGCCTTTGTCTTTATCATATTTAGCATAATTTGTTAGTGTTTAAGATATCATACATACCCTAGATTAATATTTTGTATTTGTATTTGTGGTTCATGTTCACTTAGTACTTTAATCTTATTTATGCAGAAAAGTGCTACAGCTTTTTGCAGCCTTGTTTCTATATCCTCCTATTGTTAGCTTAGCCTCTGTTCTTTGTCTTATGTATGTTAAACCATATAAGGAGTGCTTTAAGCCATTTATGTACAAGATTTGAAATCTGTCAGTGCAGTTTGCATAGCTTTAAAATACTAATTGAACTAAACGTTACCCTGACAGTATATAAGAGTCATAGTCAGTGGAGCTCTGTATTCAGTTGCCATACATGAGTCATGGACAGTGCTGAAAGAGCACACGTCAGGGGCAGAGCTTGCCTTTTCAGTATATGGATGCAAGCTAGAAAGCCTAGACAGGCTATAGGAATATTACAGTAACCATTTGATCAAGCATACAGTAAAAACGTGTCAATAATTTGTAAAAAGTAACAACAAAAAGTGTATATGAATGTTATCATGTTTATTTAGTTTAGTTTGACCAAAAATGTATTTCATCCGGTAATATGCGATCAATGTATCAGATATAGTCTGATTGGCTCTTGAAAAAACGCTGCATGATTTGATGGAAACAGCCTGTTCAGCCTAAGCAGAGCGGTGGAATATTTGGAAGTAGCTGTGGCTGTCTGTACTTTTAACAAGTGAAAACAGACATGAAAATGACCAGAAATCATGCATGACTTATCAAAGGCGGAGTATGCAATTTATTTTAGAAATATTTTTTTTATTTTTCTTGAAATACTTTACATGCCAATGGCAACTAATGAATCAAATGCTCTGACGTTAAAAAGAAACAAATCTGTGGAGGCCACAGGACTGTTAAAACTCTGTCCAGTCATTTCATTCAGAATAAATTCAGCCTACTTACCTACGTTAAGACCTGCCCACATGCGTGCATTGTGTACGTGTATTGATTTGCGCATGTGTGAATACGGTGGCGAGCTAGGCTAACAAAAATGGCAGAAAAAGTCACACACAGACCTACAACAGCTTGTACAGCTGATGAAAGACAAAAATAGAAAAGGCTTTGAACAAAAAGGTTGGATGAAGCACAAGATCAAACCACAGTGAACATCAGTGTAGCTTTCCAACACGAAACTGAAGTCTGCTTTTTACTCTACACTTCCTTGTTCAAACTTTCGCGTTCCATCTTAAATGGTACAACAGCTATATTCTGCTGCCCACTGACACCACTGAGACACCCAGGCACCATTTAAGGTGGAATGGGAAAATTCGAACAAGAAGCTGACTTCAGCTTCATCCAGAGTTGAAAGGCCTGAAAAGATGTGAGGATCTGTGTGATAGGTGGGTAACATTGATTTACAGAACCAATAGGTCAGTATTGTTTTGTCCTGTTTTGCTAATGTTTGTGATAGCAACAGCTTAGCTCAGTAGCAATTGTAGCAACAGTTGTCTAACCCACAACCTAGCTGACATTAGTTACATTACCTTCCGTGTCGTTGTTCGCGCTAATGTTATAGCATGGTATAATGTTTCTGAAGGGTTTTATGGCTACAAAACCATTGATGTGGCTTTCAAACACAAAGCTTTTTTCAAAGTCAGCCTCTTATTTGCCAGCTTCTTGCTCAAATTATCCCGTTCCAACTTGAATGGTGCAACAGTTACATTCTGGCACCAATAAAGCACCTGAAGCACCCAGTGAAAATTTGAACAAGAAGCTGGCGAATAAGAAGCTGACTTCAGCTGGCGAAACCTGAGGGAGAAAGACCTGGAGTGACGCCAAGGTTGCTATTTCTCTGTTGGGCAGGTAATTATCTGGTTTGTTTTGTCCATGGAGGAATTTATTTTCCTGAATTACGTAGCCAATGTAGCTAGCTACTTTTGTAGCTACGTTATGTATTAGTCCAATACTAAGCTGTAAGTGTAAGCTAGCTAGCTATGTTTATCTTGTATCTTGTATCTCAGTGTGATTAGTCAGGCTTTATGGGTTCATGTGTTTTGGAGGAGTGGCTTTGGAAGGAGGGCTGAAAATAGGGGGTGGGTTTTTATTTTGGTTGGATTATTTCAAAAACTAGCTTACATTTCTTGGTTTCTACAAAGTCACCTACTCCTGCTTTACATGTAAAAGAATAAGTTATGATTGTACAAATAATTTGCCTTGCTTTACCTAGGCTTGACTGCATAGTTGGCTATGAAGTTCCGCTAAACACACACATTCCAAATGCGTTTAAACTACTACAGAAGCAGTGTGGGGCCGCACATTGTTTCTGCTCCCACACACAGAAACTGCACTCTCACCAAACGAATGTGATGTTTTGGGTAGGGCTCTAGTTGCATGCATGTTATCAGTCATATTTGTTTGGATAGAGTTAGTGAAGTCACATAACTGAGTGCGTTGTGCTTTTTGCCAGCTACGTTGTTCAATCTCGACCTCCCACGTCTTTCACAAACACCGAAAAGTACGTTTAACTGGATTTGCGTGAGACAGGGCAGGACACAGAGACAGACTATAGAGGTGTTTGTTAGTTGTACTTGATTTATCATTCATGTTTCAAGCAATCCAGTAACCTTGTGGGTGGGACATTGGACCAGACTACAGAAGTGTGTTTTGTTGATTGTAGTTGCTTTAGATGTGAGTATACACAACAAAAAGCGCATTATGGGCAAGGGTGCACGTTCAAGTGCTGATTCCGATAATCAGAAAAATGCTGTATCGGCAATGATTATTGGTCGGCCCAATAATCGGCCAACCTTTCACACTCATCTCGGTTCTTCAAAGAACCTTGATTGGAAGGTTTTGATGTAGTTCTTCTACGGCATCACTCTAAAGAATGCTTTATTATTATTATTATTATTATTATTATTTTAATAATAGAATAGTAGCGTAGCCTACAGCAATACTCATGCACACATTCTGCATAGTGACATTAGAAGTGGCTAAACCTGTATTAGCTTAAGTCTCCTGGGAAGCCGAATCACATCTTTTACAGTCCTACAATGGAAACACACAGATTTCATCCACATCATCCAGGAAAAAGCAGTAGAGTTGCAGGCTGAAAGATTCATTATAAAGCTGCAGCAAATGTTTGAGAAATTACTATTAATGTATTGCTTGATTCAGTGAGGGGGCTGAATAGATAAGTATTAATATACACACACAACCCTGTCAAAAATGCCGGTGCTGCCATACAGAAGCTTTTTTAAAGTTGCAGTTAGTTCTGTAACAGCATAAGTGTTATAAAAGTTAATTCCTTGAAGGGAATAAACTGAAATGGTTGAAGTCATTCAAAATGTTAAAGTGTGTTAAAGTGTGTTAAATTCAGCACTGATTGAGTTTTAGTGTGTGTATTTGTGATCAGCTGTGTTCAGTGAACTGAAATGTAGTTCTTGTGTTTCAGAAATGAAGTGTGTTTGGGTGATGATGCTGTTCCTCCACTGCGCTCTTTCAGGTACAGTAACTCTATTAAAGGACTAAACTCCTAAACACGTACAGCCTACAGTCCTGCACAGATTAGAGAAACACCAAAACACCAGGCTGACTCTAGTTTAGTTTGAATTTCTCCTCAGCAGTATAGCTGAAATGATGTAAAAAATAATAAAAAGAATTTCAGTGTGCACAGTCTGAGTGTTTTTGAAAATGTTTCTTTCTGTTACCACTGAAATGATACTTATCAAGAATACCAAATGATCAACACAGATTTGAGTTAAACTTACACAAGTTTTAAGACAGCTAAGCAATCAGTGATTTGTGATTGAGTGGATTATTTGTGGTGTGTGTGATAGAGTAAGTTATATCTGTGGTGTGTGTTAATGAGTAGATTATCTGTGGTGTGTGTGATTGAGTAGTGTGTGTGATTGAGTAGATTATCTGTGGTGTGTGTGTTATTGAGTAGATTATCTGTGGTGTGTGTGTTATTGAGTAGATTATCTGTGGTGTGTGTGATTGAGTAGATTATCTGTGGTGGTGTATTGAGTAGATTATCTGGTGTGTGTGATTTCTGTGGTGTGTTATTGAGTAGATTATCTGTGGTGTGTGTGATTGAGTAGATTATCTGTGGTGTGTGTGATTGAGTAGATTATCTGTGGTGTGTGTGTGATTGAGTAGATTATCTGTGGTGTGTGTGATTGAGTAGATTATCTGTGGTGTGTGTTATTGAGTAGATTATCTGTGGTGTGTGTGTTATTGAGTAGATTATCTGTGGTGTGTGTTATTGAGTAGATTATCTGTGGTGTGTGTGCACGATTGAGTAGATTATCTGTGGTGTGTTATTGAGCAGATTATCTGTGGTGTGTGTGTGATTGAGTAGATTATCTGTGGTGTGTGTGATTGAGTAGATTATCTGTGGTGTGTGTGTTATTGAGTAGATTATCTGTGGTGTGTGTGATTGAGTAGATTATCTGTGGTGTGTTATTGAGTAGATTATCTGTGGTGTGTGTGTTATTGAGTAGATTGTCTGTGGTGTGTGTGATTGAGTAGATTATCTGTGGTGTGTTATTGAGTAGATTATCTGTGGTGTGTGTGATTGAGTAGATTATCTGTGGTGTGTTATTGAGTAGATTATCTGTGGTGTGATATTGAGTAGATTATCTGTGGTGTGTGTGTGATTGAGTAGATTATCTGTGGTGTGTGTGATTGAGTAGATTATCTGTGGTGTGTGTGATTGAGTAGATTATCTGTGGTGTGTGTGATTGAGTAGATTATCTGTGGTGTGTGTGATTGAGTAGATTATCTGTGGTGTGTGTTATTGAGTAGATTATCTGTGGTGTGTGTGATTGAGTAGATTATCTGTGGTGTGTGTGATTGAGTAGATTATCTGTGGTGTGTTATTGAGTAGATTATCTGTGGTGGGTGTGATTGAGTAGATTATCTGTGGTGTGTGTGATTGAGTAGATTATCTGTGGTGTGTGTGTTATTGAGTAGATTATCTGTGGTGTGTGTGATTGAGTAGATTATCTGTGGTGTGTGTTATTGAGTAGATTATCTGTGGTGTGTGTGATTGAGTAGATTATCTGTGGTGTGTGTGATTGAGTAGATTATCTGTGGTGTGTGTTATTGATTAGATTATCTGTGGTGTGTGATTGAGTAGATTATCTGTGGTTCATTCAATGTTCTGTTTCTCTTTTGCAGAGAAGTTTAAGGTTGTGGGTCCAGATGCTCCTGTTGTAGCTGCCCCTCTTTCTAACATAATTCTGGCATGTTCTGTTCAACACTGGGATGATCAGACCAGTGTTAGTGCTGTTGATATGAACATTAAATGGACCAAATCAGACCTTGAAGATGCAGTAGTACATTTTTATGCTAATTATGGAGACATCACCATCAAGCAGAGTCCTGCATATAGAGGTAGAACTGCTCTGTTTGAAGAGGAGCTACAGAACGGCAACATCTCACTGAGACTGACTAAAGTTAATATTCATGATGAGGGAGAGTACAGATGTAGTGTTGAGTCCACATTCTGGTACAGTGATATCACCTTTAAACTTACTGTTGAAGGTAAAAGTCACACTAATATTGTATTGTATAAAATAATTGTTACTACTTGTACTGCTTGTAAAAGGAAGTGATGCCACACTAACTCATGTTCTGGCTCCTTCTTTAATCCACAGCTATTGGAACTCCTCCAGTAATCACTGTAGAGAGATATGATGAGAAGTCTGAAGAGTTCACTTTACTGTGTGAATCTAAAGGCTGGTTTCCTGAGCCTGATCTTCAGTGGCTTGACAGTGAAGAAAATAATCTGACTGCAGGAGATACAGAGTTACACAGAGGTGCTGAGTTTTTCAGTGTAAAACGTCGGTTCACTATACATAAGTGTCATATCGACACGTTCTACTGCAGAGTGACACTGAGAGAACACATGATGGAGGAAAAAATCAAAGCTGAGGCCTTTTATGGTAAGTTACTTTACACTGCTGAAAACATTCTGTATTTGCACAAGAACACTCTGAGGTATCTCAGGAACCAGTCTTTTTACTAATATTTTATTAATTAATCATTTATTTTCTTTAAATATTCCAGCCCCATTTTCTCCAAATCACCTCCTATTAAGGAGGTATTTCTAACATGTTTATAGAGAAAAAAGAATTGACAATACGGTGCTAAAGTCAGAGATAACTCTTTTGTTTAATTTCCAGTAAGGTCATGATTCTCATATGAAAGCAAAATTTGTTTTGGATACATGGAGCGATACGCTTTGTGAATCAAATACAGTTAGATTTGATGCTACAGGATACATTATAACAGGAATGGGTTTTATGGTTATATTTAACACAATGTATTGTATTCCTAAAAATAATAACCATCAATATAAAAACCACCACTGCACAGCTCTAAGAACTGGAAAAAAAATGATTTGGTTAATGTACATTAGATGGTTTATTAGCCAAGCTGTTTAAAATGGCAAGATTTCTCAGTCATGTGCAGTGTAATTAAGGATCTACTGATACCACTTTTTCTCTGCTGATACTCAGTACTGATACTACAACTACATTTCCAAAAAAGTTGGGATGCTGTGCAAAATGTAAATAAAAATAAAATGCAATGATGTGCAAATCATTTAAGCCCTATAATTAATTGTAAATAGTACATAGACGACATATCAAATATTGGAACTAATACTAATTTTATTGTTTTTTGAAAAATATTTGCTGATTTTGAATTTGACACCAACAATACATTCCAAAATAGTTGGGATGGGGCAACAAAAGGCTGGTAAAGTTGTGTAATGCTAAAAAAAACACCTGGTGGTTGATTGGCAACAGGTCAGTAACATTGTTGGGTATAAATGAGCATCTCAGACAGGCTGAGTCTTTCAGCAGTAAAGATGAGGAGGGGTTCACCACTCTGTGAAAGACTGCACCATCAAATAGTGAAACAATTCAAGAATAACGTTTCTCAACATAAAATAGCAAAGAACTTCTGCTTTTCATCATCTATGGTACATAATATCATTAAAAGATTCAGAGAATCTGGAGAAATCTCTGTATGTAAGGGACAAGTCCAAAAACCAGTATTTGCTGGCCGTGATCTTTGGGCCCTCAGGCAGCACTGCATTAAAAACAGACATGATTCTGTAGTGGAAATCACTGCATGGGCTCAGAAACACTTCTGAAAAACACAAACTGTTTTTGGAAATGGGGATGTTTCTCAATCTAACCTAACTAGCTCATGGTTCACACTTTAAATGTTTGATAGCCAAATGGGTTTTAGTTTATTGAAAACACTTGAAGAGGAAATAAGCGATTAAATTACTTTACTATTTCTTTGACCTCAAAGGAGAGTCTAGGGTAACCTAAGTCATCTCTCTTAATTGACCACATGAAGGATGCTTCAATCAACAGGGCTATTTATTAGTCTAAATATCAAATAGCAAAATGCAAATTACTTTCAATAATAAAGTTGAATACATATATACAGCTTGCATTACAGTATAAGAGTCTTCAGTTTTCAAACAATTTACTCCTGTATTAAGCAGTTCACTGATGGTACATGCCATGTTTTCCATAGTATTTCTGATTCGGGCCTGGAAATGTGAGTAATTAATGGGTGATCTGCCATCATGAAAGGGTTTGTCAGTTCAGGCTGGTTTACGATAGCTGAAAAACACTAACTTTTCTATCTGCTTTCCTTGATTTGGTGAGTGTGTTCCGTTTAAATAATCCGCTGCTCACTGTCCCCTCCTCTCTCTCTGCCCCAAGTCACTTGTGTAACGTAGGTGTGACACACATCCGAGTGGTGAGTCGAAGTGAGTGAGGGTAAGTTGTACAGGGTGTCCCAAAAAAATTGACATCATTTGAGATGTGGATATCTGAGTAACTACATGTCATACGTAAACAAAATTATATATATATATATATATATATATATATATATATATATATATATATATATATATATATATATATTGAACAATACAAGATTTATTTATCAAAATTCGAACAAGAAATTCAGAGGGATGTAGATTTTATACCCGATTTCACGAAGCTTCACAAATGTAATATCTTCCAATACTGGTGGTCGTCCAGATCCCTTTGCCCTGCACAGACAGCCTTCCTCTTTGAATTTTTTGTGTAATGTCCAATACTGCTTTCTAGTTGGTGCATTTTTATTGAATTTTGTTGAAAGAAAACATTAAAAATTAAACTGGTTAGTTTTCACACATTTTTGTTAAAATTTGAGATCATTTGAGGGAGAATTGGCTACATTATTAGACTACGAAATGAAGTCAATTTTTTGGGACACCCTGTATATAGAGTTGAAATGGATGAAGAGTTACATCTTGCCTACCAAAGTAGTGACAGGGTGTTCCTAACGATGCGATCGAATGCTATTAATAAATGCTGACCTCTGCTCCACTAAAACAACATGTATTTGAACTTGCTATTAACTCTCATTAAAGTTTGGGGAAGACCCTCTCCTGTTCCAGCATGAGTGTGACCCTGTGCATTAACTCCAGCTTCAGTAGCATTCTATGGGATGTGCTTCAGTGTTCTTTGGGATGGGGAGAACACTACCTACCGGAATGCCACCTAGCTCCAGTGAAGGGTGGTTTTAATTCTATAGCATACTAAGACATTTTACACAATTATATGCTTCCAACTTTGTGTCAGCAGTTTGAGGAAGACCCTTTCCTGTTCTAGTATAACTGAGCTCCTTTTCATTAACTCTCATTGAAGCCCAGCTTTAGTAGCATTCTATGGGATATGCTTCAGTGTTCTATGGGATGAGTTTTAGTAGGGCTCTGTGGGATGTGCTTCAGTAGGGTGCTATGGGAGGTGCTTGTGTAGGATTCTATGGGATGTATTTCAGTAGGATTCTATGAGATGTGCGTCCATAGCATTCCATGGGACATGCTTCAGCAAGGTTTCCCGAGACAAGCTTCATTAGGGTTCTGTTTAGTACGGTTCTATGGGACATGCTTCCATGGCTTTTCACAAACATATTAATGCAGACTGTGCTGTTTTGTGTTAAAGATTAGGTATTTTACACTTTATTCAGTTAAAATACTGAATTGCATTATAAGTTAAGAGCAATACAGACATGTTGTTAACGATATCAAATGTCATTTGATGAAATTTAGGCAAATCTGTACTTGATAGTCTTAAAGCAACCGCCTGTGCTACACATCTCAAACATGGCTGATTTGCATTCATTTGCACTGATATACATCCTTGGTACACACTATTAATACATTGTTACTGCCTAGCAACTGTGGACTCCCCTCCCAGTTATTGCGTTCAGATGTTAAAGCTACACCCATTGCTAACAGCTATAGTAGCAACATAGTCTCAGTGACCTTAAACATGGCACTTTCATAAGATGCCACCTTTGCAAGTCAGTTTGTGAAATTTCTGCCCTGATAGATCTGCCCTGGTCAACTGTAAGTGCTGTTATTGTGAAATGGAAGCATTTAGGAGCAACAATAACTCAGTTACGAAGCAGTAGATCTAACTATAGACCTATTATTTTGTGGATATTTTGTGAGAGTGCATTTTCTTGCCAAAACTCACAGAGCAGGGCCACAGGGTGCTGACCAACATAGTGAGCAAAAATTACCTATCCTGTTTTGCATCACTCACTACAGAGTTTTAAACTGCCCCTGGAAGCAACATCATCACAAGAACTGTATACTGAGAGATTCATGAAATTGCTTTCCATGGCTGAACTGCCACACAGCATTGCCAAGCAGTGGCCAGAGTGGCAGTGTGGTGTAAAACACGCCTCCACTGGACTCTGGAGCAGTGGAAACGTGTTCTCTAGAGTGATGAATTAAATGTCACTCTGGCAGCCTGATGGATGAATCTGAGTTTGGCATATGCCAGGATAATGCTACCAATCAGAATGCAGTGCCAACAGAAATGTTTCGTGGCATTATGGTCTGGGACGTTTTTCAGGGTTTGGGCCCCTTAGTTACAGTGAAGCATGAATTCTACAGCACAAAGACTTTTCACACAATTATATGCTTCCTAATTTGTGTGAACAGTTTGGGGAAGAACCTTTTCTGTTAGAGTGTGACTGAGCCCCTGTGCACAAAGTGAGCTCCATACAAATATGGTTTGATGAGTTTGGTGTGGAGGGACTCCAGTGGTCTGCACAGAGCCCTGACCTCAACCACACTGAACATCTTTGGGTTGAACTGTAAAGTCGAAAGCAGCCCAGGCCCTCTTGTCCAACTTCAGTGCCAAACCTAACAAATGCTCTTTTAAATGAAAGGGCACAAATTTCTACAGACACACCCCAAAATCTTGTGGAAAGCTTCCCAGAAGAGGGGAGTCGCAAAACCCCGTATTAACGCCCATGGTTTTGGAATGGGACGTCCAACAAGCTCATATAGGTGTGATAGTCAAGTGTCTACACACTTTTGTCCTTATAGTGTATTTATGCTAGTGAATTTTCTTTTAAATTTTTGTTAATTATGAAATGTGAATTATTTTGTAATCTAAAAGTAATTACTGTTTTAAGGGAGATCTTTAGAAATACTAACAAATAAGCCCACAAAATCCATTTCTGGCACATTACAAAATAGATCCAGATGTAGCTTTGCCAAATTTGTCACACAGATAATTTACTGATGAAACATAGAAAAACATTTGCAATAACCAATTTGAGATACACTGCCTGTGCTCAGCATAAATTAATACAACATGTAACAGCACCAAAGTTAGGAAACATCAAATGTTCCAAATGGTAACTATTAACCTATTATTTTGTGCATGTTGTGTGAGCATGCATTCATTCCTGCCACATGCATGCATGCTTGCATAAAGTGCTAATGTAGAACTAAAAAAAAATATTTTCTTACTCATAGAAGACCAGTGTGACTATAGATACAGAAATATAATTTCATCTCTTTGACTGTGTTTCAGATCACCTGCTCAGACCTGCACGAACAGCTGCAATTGTGGGTGGAGTCACTGCAGTTTTTTTTTTAATTGTGATTCTTGTTCCTGTAGTCATTTATTACAAATATAAAGGTGGGCACTAATTTCGTTCACATCCAGTCAGAACACAACATTGACACTCTCCCATTGCGGGTGTACAACACAACTGTAGGGTGTCTGTATGTGACTGCATCAACAGACATGATGGAACACTGAGACAGTTTGACTGACCAGCAAAAACACCAGACCTCCAGTGCTTAAGACATTTGTGTAATCCCTACCTGACAGAATTGATGCTGTTATTAAAATGTGTAACCAAGTGCACAATCACAATTACTGCTCCTACACAGGTGAACACATACAGCCACAATTACTGCTCCTACACAGGTGAACACACACAGTCACAATCACTGCGCCTACACAGGTGAACACACACAGTCACAATCACTGCGCCTACACAGGTGAACACACACACACTCACAACCACTGCTCCTACACAGGTGAACACATAGTCACAATGACTGTGTCTACACAGGTGAACATACACAGTCACAATGACTGCACCTACACAGATGAACACAAACAGTCTCAATCACTGCATCTACACAGGTGAACACACAGTCACAATCACTGCATCTACACAGGTGAACACACAGTCACAATCACTGCGCCTACACAGGTAAACACACACAGCCACAATCACTGCATCTACACAGGTAAACACACACAGTCACAATCACTGCTCCTACACAGGTGAACACACACGGTCACAATCACTGCGCCTACACAGGTGAACACACACAGTCACAATCACTGCTCCTACACAGGTGAACACACACAGTCTCAAGCACTGCTCTTACACAGCCACAATAACTGCATCTACACAGGTAAACACACACAGTCACCATCACTGCACCTTCACAGGTGAACACACACAGTCTCAAGCACTGCTCTTACACAGCTACAATCACTGCACCTACACAGGTGAACATACACAGTCACAATCACTGCGCCTACACAGGTGGACACACACAGTCACGATCACTGAACCTACACAGGTGAACACACACAGTCACGATCACTGCGCCTACACAGGTGAACACACACAGTCTCAAGCACTGCTCCTACACAGTCACAATCACTGCACCTAAACAGGTGAGCACACACAGTTACAATCACTGCTCCTACACAGGTGGACACACACAGCCACGATCACTGAACCTACACAGGTGAACACACAGTCACAATCACTGCACCTACACAGGTGAACACACACAGTCACAATCACTGCTCCTACACAGGTGAACACACACAGTCTCAAGCACTGCTCTTACACAGCCACAATAACTGCATCTACACAGGTAAACACACACAGTCACCATCACTGCACCTTCACAGGTGAACACACACAGTCTCAAGCACTGCTCTTACACAGCTACAATCACTGCACCTACACAGGTGAACATACACAGTCACAATCACTGCGCCTACACAGGTGGACACACACAGTCACGATCACTGAACCTACATAGGTGAACACACACAGTCACGATCACTGCGCCTACACAGGTGAACACACACAGTCTCAAGCACTGCTCCTACACAGTCACAATCACTGCACCTAAACAGGTGAGCACACACAGTTACAATCACTGCTCCTACACAGGTGGACACACACAGCCACGATCACTGAACCTACACAGGTGAACACACAGTCACAATCACTGCACCTACACAGGTGAACACACACAGTCACAATCACTGCTCCTACACAGGTGGACACACACAGTCACGATCACTGAACCTACACAGGTGAACACACACAGTCACAATCACTGCACCTACACAGGTGAACACACACAGTCACAATCACTGCTCCTACACAGGTGGACACACACAGTCACAATCACTGCTCCTACACAGGTGGACACACACAGTCACGATCACTACACAGGTGAACACACACAGTCACAATCACTGCACCTACACAGGTGAACACACACAGTCACAATCACTGCTCCTACACAGGTGGACACACACAGTCACAATCACTGCTCCTACACAGGTGGACACACACAGTCATGATCACTGAACCTACACAGGTGAACACACACAGTCACAATCACTGCTCCTACACAGTCACAATCACAGCACCTACACAGGTGAACACAAACAGTCACGATCACTGCAACTACACAGGTGAACACACACAGTCTCAAACATTGCTCCTACACAGGTGGACACACACAGTCACAATCACTGAACCTACACAGGTGAACACACACAGTCACAATCACTGCACCTACACAGGTGAACACAAACAGTCACGATCACTGCAACTACACAGGTAAACACACACAGTCTCAAACATTGCTCCTACACAGGTGAACACACACAGTCACAATCACTGCGCCCACACAGGTGAACACACACAGCCTCAAGCACTGCTCCTACACAGATGAACACACATTGTCACAACCACACATGGTTGCATCCCAAATGGCTATTTATTAGACACATGATGCACTGTATTGGTGGAAGACACACTATTTTAATTCTTACGTTGTTCGCTATGTAGGGAGCAGGGAGGTTTTTCAGATTTAACCAGTGCTTTTGCTCAGGACTCGGACGCGCAGCATGTTGCATTATATAAATTGTAGGCATTGTCCAAGCACAATTGGCGATTCAAACATACAGCGTGAGCGACCAAAGATTTTTAAAATCACACAGTGTATGCCTGGCTTAAGTTTATTTGCCTGCTTAGTTAGGATTATTGTGAAATGCGCAATGAGCCAAGTAGGGTAATTCTCATCATGGCCTGTCAAAATAATAGCTTTTGAGGCCAGTGTCACACTTATTCTCAAATGAAGAGTATATTACGTTAATTTAAAAACCCTTTGGATTAGGTTACAGATTGCATAATCTGTACTGGACTACATTTTAAAGTCACTCCTTGTTGTCCCACACTAGTTCATACAGTCCGTTCCACTGAACCAGGTTTTTGGAGTAAGTATGTTCTCTATTTTAAAATAGGGGAAATGGATTTCAAAGTGTTCTTTGTAGCACAGCATGTGGTATCTTCTTTAACACATTTTATACACATAGCATGAGAATATAACCAAACACCTATTGGTTTTCTATTCACGTGTGCATGTGTTCACTGTAAATTTTCTCTGTTTATAGATAAAAAAAGAAGATGGAAAAAAAAGAAAGAACTGAAAAGAGGTAAGATGGAGTTTTTTTTCCTTTTTGCCTTTTTAATCAGAGAATCTGAGGGTTATCTGATATCATAGAATTCATTTAAAGCAGTGTAGAGCTGAAAGAGAGCCACACACATAATCTGTGAAACAGCAGAGGATCCATTTACACACAGAACTGTTACAGAGCTACATTACTGAAATGGGCCTTTGGAGATGTGGGGTGAGAGGCCACACTGAATGTGGAAAGAAACAGCCTTATTAGGAAAAAAAGACATAATGTGAATGATATCCAGCACCATTCTTTACATTCCACTCCACTTGAGCAAATGGGTATTAACATGCATTGTGAAGTCTGACTTTGTGTGTGTTAATGTCCTTAATGATAGACAGAAACTATTTAAGCACTAACATTTGCTTTTTGTGAAAAATCACTGAATGTATCAGTGAGTGAAAAGATTTGTGGAATTAAGCTGATTGTCAGTAGTACCAGGAACGTGATAAATAGCCTGGCCAATAAAAATGTTGCACACTCTAATATTTCACTGGACCACCTTTAGCTTTTATCACAGCATACATTCACTGTGGCATTGTTATGCAATGTTAAAATATTTATTTCATTCATTCAGTTGCATTAATTTTGGTTGAGATGTTGTATTGACAACAGGAGAGTCAAACCACTCTGTAAAGTCTTCTCCAGCACAACTCAAAAACTACAACTACAACTCAGTGGGGTTAAGATCAGGATTCTGTGGTGGCTGATTCATGCGTGAAAATGATCCCTCATGCTCAGTGAACCACACTTTCACAATCTGAACCCAGTCAGTGAGTGCATTTACATGCTCTCAATAATCCAATCGTAATCCAATTTTCGTATCGTGTGGGCATAAACCTGCATGTCCCCCCAGTTTATCCTCTAGCAGTCTAGACTGGATAGTGTTGAAGGAGCTCAAGAAGAACATAATCTGCACCATACAGTTGGGTCTGTCCAAAAAGGAGTAGGCCATCTGCAGCAGGAGATTATGCATCATCCAGACCCCGGTCTCTCCAAGATCTTCATTGTATGAGGAGTTAGTGCTGTCGCTCTGTAGTCATTAGGCACTGACACCAGGCATGTTGTTTTCCATAGCATAGGAACTCAAAATGCAGACACATGTTAAAAAAAAAATATCACCAATTTTCACCAATATCTTCAACAGATCACTGGAACTCTGCTCTGTTCCATCATGCCTCAAAACATTTACCATCATTCCAGTTCCCAAAAAAATGAACATCACTGGACTAAATGACTACAGGCCAGTAGCCCTGAAGCCCACCTGAAGACTCTCTGCTGGATCCCCTCCAGTTCATATACAGAACTAATAGGTCTGTCGACGACATGGTCAGCTTGGCCCTGCACTTTATTCTACAGCTCATCTCAACAGTCCTGGAACCTACGCTAGAGTTTTGTTTGCAGACTTGACTGACAGCTCGACATTCAACACAGTGCCAGAGCTGCGGCAGGTAAAATTGTCTCCACTGTCAGTGCCAGATCCCATCTGCCGTTGGATCATGGATTCCTGACAAAAAGGAAACAGCTGGTGCAGCTAGGAAAACACAACTCAGACCCCTAAACCCTCAGTACTATTATTCCGCAAAGTTACGTGCTCTCACCCCTTTTCTTCAGTCTCTACACCAATGACTGTGTCTCTAAGGAAACAGCTATGAAGGTGCCTCATGGCCAACAGTAATGAGTCTGCAGACAGGAAGGAAGTCTCCTGACGCAGCAGCAACCACCTGCTACTGAACATGGAAAAAAGGGTGGAGATGGTGGTGGATTTAAGGCACAGCCCCCCCTTCCTACCACCCGCTCACCATCAATGGCTCTGTGGTTTCCACTGTGGAGTCAGTTAAGTTCCTGGGCACCACCATATCCAGGGACCTGAAGTGGGAGAGGAGTCTTCATCACCAAGAGAGCACAGTAAAGAATGTTCTTCCTGAGACAGCTGAAGAAATTCAACCTGCTGCAGAGCCTGATGATCCAGTTCATCAAGTCCATCCTCACACCATCTGGTTTGGTTCCTCGACCTTAGAAGAGCCAAACTCCAGGGCATTATCAGGACTGTGGAGAAGATCATTGGATGTAATCTACCAATCCTTCAGGACATCTAAAGCAGCAGGGAGGTGAAGCGTGCTGGCAAAATTGCAGCTGACCCCTCTCATCCTGGACATCACCTCTATCTAGGCTCTTTGTCGGCTCTTCAAAAACAGTCCAGTTTTTGGATTCAAAACCGTCCTGTAGCTTGTCTCCACTGGTCCACCTCTTCACTGTAATGATACCAGCCTTGTTGGTTTTGAGTTTCTGCCTGTATTTTGGTGAATGAGACTGTGGTCGGAGTGACACGCATGACGACACAACGGGCGCTTTTAACAGTGGTGTAGCAATGATCCAAAATATTCCCTTCTCTTGTGGCACAAGTGACATACTGTATGTACTTGGAACTTCTTTTGTTAGATTTGCACTGTTGAAGTATCCTATAATGATGAGCAGTGAGTCCAGATTACCTCTTTCTTTCTACTTTTTTATCTGCTTGGCCAGCAATCTATCTTCTCTTATCTATCTGCTCTGTGCATCTGGAAGCTGGGAAGGTGGAGTGCGCTGTCAGGGGTCAGATCAGAAAGGCAGGTCTCTGTAAAGCACAGGGCAGATATGTTTGAAAAGTCCTTGTTGGTGTGGTTGAGCAAAAGTAGTTATTCCATGTTGCTGTATAGAGATTGCAGATTGGAGAAAAATAAATATGGTAAAGGGGTACGAAATCCACACTTCGGCCCTACAAGCACTCCAGTTCGTCACAAGATCTAGTGTATGCCCATGTTTGTGTGTCGGATTGTTAACATGCTGTACTAGTGGAAGACAATTAATGAGTTTAAGAAAATCAACAGCAAGTGATCCTTTGGGAGAATCAACATGTATGTTAAAATTTCCAAACATAAAAATGTGAAGGACATAATGTAAAATAATGTAAAAAGCAAATCTGAAAATTCCTGAACAAATAAAGGATTAACCTTAGGTTAGATGATTTAAACTGTCAATGTGAAAGGAGAGCTACACCATAGGACTAGGAATTCAAAAGAAGATATACTAGGAACAGACAACACAAAAACTGTCTCCAAAAAGAACAACCAGTCCACCGCCTCTTCCCGATTTACATGCTTTTTTCACAATACTTGAAAATACTAGACTGGTGGAGTGAGTTCATTCATCAGTGTAGTCTCCCTCATGGTGCCAAGTTTAAGTCACACATAAAAATTCAATACTTTGGTCTCTAACATAATTCATAAATCATTTAAAAGAGATTTTGTTTGCAAGCGATTGTTTATTTATACAATATCTCACAAAAGTGAGTACACCCCTCACATTTCCGCAAATATTTTATTATATCTTTTCATGGACCACACTATAGAAATGAAACTTGGATATAACTTAAAGTAGTCAGTGTACAGTTTGTATAGCAGTACAGATTTACTGTCTTCTGAAAAGAACTCAACACACAGCCATTAATCTCTAAATAGCTGGCAACACAATTAAGTACACCTCACAGTGAACATGTCCAAATTGTGCTCAAAGTGTCAATATTTTGTGTGACCACCATTATTATCTAGCACTGCTTTAACCCTCTTGGGCATGGAATTCACCAGAGCTGCACAGGCTGCTACTGGAAACCTCTTTCACTCCTCCATGATGACATCACGGAGCTGGTGGATGTTAGACACCTTGCGCTCCTCCTCCTTCCGCTTGAGGATGCCCCACAGGTGGTCAATTGGGTTTAGGTCTGGAGACATACTTGACCAGTCCATCACCTTTATCTTTAGCAAGGCAGTTGTCATCTTGAAGGTGTGTTGGGGGTCGTTATCGAATTGGAAAACTGCCATGTGGCGCAGTTTCTGAAGGGAGGGAATCATCCTCTGCTTCAGAATGTCACAGTACATGTTGGAATTCATGTTTCCCTCAATGAATCACAGATCCCCAGTGCCGACAGCACTCATGCAGCTCCAGAATATAATGCTACCACCACCATGCTTGACTGTAGACAAGAGACAGTTGTCTTGGTACTTCTTACCAGGGCGCCACCACACATGCTGGACACCATCTGAGCCAAACAAGTTTATGTTGGTCTCGTCAGACCATATTCTTGGACTGCTTGTCTTCAGCAAACTGTTTCCGGGCTTTCTTGTGCGTCAGCTTCAGAAGAGACTTCCTTCTGGGACAACCGCCATGCAGACCGAGCTGATGCATTGTACGGCGTATGGTCTGAGCACTGACAGGTTGACCTCCCACTTCTTCAACCTCTGCAGCAATGCTGGTAGCACTCGTCTATTTTTTGAAGCCAACCTCTGGATATGACGCTAAACATGTGGACTCAATTTCTTTGGTCGACCCTGGCGAGGCCTGTTCCGAGTGGAACCTGTCCTGGAAAACTGCTGTATGACCTTGGCCACCATGCTATAGCTTAGTTTCAGGGTGTTTGCAACCTTCTTATAGCCTAGGCCATCTTTGTGGAGAGCAACAATTCTCACATCCTCAGAGAGTTCTTTGCCATGAGGTGCCATGTTGAATATCCAGTAGCCAGTATGAGCGAATTGTACCCAAAACGCCAAATTTAACAGCCCTGCTCCCCATTCACACCTGGAACCTTGTAACTCTAAAGAGTCACATGGCACCAGGGAGGGACAACGACATGATTGGGCACAATTTGGACATCTTCACTGTGAGGTGTACTCACTTGTGTTTCCAACTATTTAGACATTAATGGCTGTATGTTGAGTAATTTTCAGAGAAAAATGAATCTATACTGCTATACAAACTGTACACTGACTAAGTTATGTCCGAGTTTCATTTCTTTAGTGTTGCCCCATGAAAAGATCTAATGAAATATTTGAAGAAATGTGAGGGGTGTACTCACTTTTCTGAGATATTGTACAGGCAAATTTAAGTATTTCTTTCTGTTATGTTTCAGTGGTGACTGGCAATAGAGAGAGGTTGAAGAACATGACATATGAATGATGTGCTTGTGGTGCTGAATGATGTGGTTGTGGTGTTAAATGATGTGGTTGTGTGAGCTGAATGATGTGGTTGTGGTGCTGAATAATGTGGTTGTGGTGCTGAATGATGTGGTTGTGGTGCTGAATGATGTGGTTGAGGTGCTGAATGATGTGGTTGTGATGCTGAATGATGTGGTTGTGTGAGCTGAATGATGTGGTTGTGGTGCTGAATGATGTGGTTGTGTGAGCTGAATGATGTGGTTGTGTGAGCTGAATGATGTGGTTGTGTGAGCTGAATGATGTGGTTGTGGTGTTAAATGATGTGGTTGTGTGAGCTGAATGATGTGGTTGTGGTGCTGAATGATGTGGTTGTGGTGCTGAATGATGTGCTTGTGGTGCTGAATGATGTGGTTGTGGTGTTAAATGATGTGGTTGTGTGAGCTGAATGATGTGGTTGTGGTGCTGAATAATGTGGTTGTGGTGCTGAATGATGTGGTTGAGGTGCTGAATGATGTGGTTGAGGTGCTGAATGATGTGGTTATGTGAGCTGAATGATGTGGTTGTGGTGCTGAATGATGTGGTTGTTTGTGCTGAATGATGTGGTTGTGGTGCTGAATGATGTGGTTGTGGTGCTGAATGATGTGGTTATGTGAGCTGAATGATGTGGTTGTGTGAGCTGAATGATGTGGTTGTGTGAGCTGAATGATATGGTTGTGTGAGCTGAATGATATGGTTGTGGTGCTGAATGATGTGTTTGTGTGAGCTGAATGATGTGGTTGTGGAGCTCAATGATGTGGTTGTGTGAGCTGAATGATGTGCTTCTGTGAGCTTTTGTACTGAATGATGTTTTGTCTCTAGCATATGAAAATGTTATCAGATGGTTAAGAGAGTTTGTCTGATAGATTTATTGACAAATATTTATTAACCTGTGTGATATCTCTCACTGACTTTCAATTTTTGATATTATTTTAATCCTTCCGAGTTCATCAAAAATAATCAGTTTGTTAAAGAGAGTGGAATACTTCTAAAACATAAATCAAAATATTCATACATTCAAGAAACAAAACAACCACTATTCAAATAATTAATAATGTATACATTAATCTCTCTGGCAAATATGCTTTTGTTTTTTAAGATAAAGTAAATTTGTTGTTAAATTTGTAATGCTAATTATTTTGAAGGATAGTTTGAAACTACATAAATTATTTTATTATTTCTCTTTTGGTGTATATTTTTTGTGTACATTTTTAATGAGACAACAGAGACATAAGTGTTGATTATTAATACGTGAATAATATTTATGCACTGTAATTATTTACAGAAAAAGTTCTAAATTCTAAATTTAAACAGCTTTGTATGCTTTCACATTTGATATATCCATACTCATAAATTTTTGTATATAGACTTTTTTTCGTCTTGATCACCCTTTAGTTAAATCTGCTTTTTGGAAGTCAGAAGAAGGGCAGCGTGATGGCTCATCAATGTGGTCTCTTCTGCTGAAGTTAGAGGAGGAGCAGAGTGATGACCCAACAGTGGAGAGGGGTTTTCTGAACCGCCTAAGAAATGACTCACTACAGAAATTAAAGGACCATCTACAGAAAATTATGGAAACTCAACCTAGAGTTGTGTGAGTATCTATTTTCATTCTATACTACAGTCATGTGCTAAATATACTAAAGATAACTAACTCATAAACTATAAAATGAGACAGAACTCTCAGAAAAATATAAAAGATAAACTGTTTAAGGCTCTTAGAACACTTGTACTGTTTCATCGTTGCATATAGGCTCCCGCTGCTGAGACACAATGTTCTGTGCATATGTAAACAGGTCAGTCAGAATCTCAGACTCATCTAAATGATCCCCAAAATAAACTGAACACTGTTCATTTGATCATTTTGTGGTCTATTTGAAAATGAAATTGCCCCAGTCCACCTTGCGTTTAGTTGCATTATACATACACAGCTACACTTTTATTACACACAAAACTACAAACAAAGAGCTCATTACCAAACACACTATTCTCAAAACCTTCAACAGTGAAAACTCACTTTTGATCACCCATAAACTTTGATTACTCACAAAACAACCCAAATTAACGTGTCAGCTGAGAGGAGGAGCTGCTCCTCAAACCCCCAAAATCACGTGCTCATTACCTGCTGCACCTGCATGCTATCAGTGGAAGAGCATTGAATTTAAAAAAAGAGGGTCTATATACCAGTTAGTGAGAGAGGACCTTACTGTAGAAATACTGGGAGAGAAAATTCTTTTGGGTTTGTGAGTTTGGCCAAAGTTGACCACATTAAATAAATGAAGTTATGTTAGTTGTGTGATATTGAGCACAGTCTTGCACTGATTTCTGTGAATTTGGTTTCCCTGTTTTCTGATCAGAGCTGATTTCCTAACACAAATAAAAAAAAAAAACTAATAAAAGAAAGACAAATAAAAAAATCCTCATAAACTACCATTCAGAAGTTTCATTTCACTTGTCAGATTAAGTTAATATAAGTTAACATTTACTAATAACCTAATGTATAAATATATATATATATATATATATATATATATATATATATATATATATATATATATATATGTATAAATATATGTACGTACATGTACAATATAAATATTATAAACTAGGCATCAGGATATTTTCAGATTTTACTGTATTATTATTTTAATACTGTAAATCTTTTTTAGGAATAATAAATTATGTAATCAATAAACAATTTAGTATAATTATTTTTATTTTAAATAATTTTCTGATAAGTTATCCTTCTTGAGATTTGTTTCACAGAGCCACATGTGATCTCTTGCTGAGAACGTCTGTGGACGACCATGAGACATGTTTAGTTAAATGTGGGTGGGAACAAATGAAAGTGGAAGTTGGAAGTGATGGTGCCCTCAACATTCTCCAACTGACAAAAAATCTGTCATTAGCTTTATGATTGTAATGTGAGTTAGCATTGATAAGAAAAAGAGATAAAAAGTTCCCATAAAAAAGCTTAGTTAAGCATGTAGATGTGAGCCTTGTGTGCAGAGACATATTACATGCAGTTAAAATGAACATTACCTCTTACAAAAGAAAACACTCCTGATTAGCTTTACAAGAGATCACTAGGCAAATAATAAACACTGATGATGGGTTACTTTGAAGTTGACCCTTATTTTATAATGTAGCTGAGCATGCATGTAGAAGTTTAAAGAAAAGAAAAGGGATGGAAAAGTAAAAATTAAACTTAATCAACTAATAGGGATTCCTTCAAGGAGTGGCACAACCATCTAACCGTTGTCAGGAGATTGTGAACTTGATCCCTGGTGATGCTATAGCCAGGACAGCACAATTGGCCTCGCTCTCTCTGGGTGGGTAGGATGTCCTCCCCATCTCCCCCCCATCACTCAACGCACTGCTAGTCAGCACAGGCGACTGTTAGCTGATGTAACAGATCTGGCGCTTGGCGCTTTCCTCCGAGTGCGTTCAGCTGTCCAATGACGTTTACGTGAGCGTGCAGTTTGAAAAGATGCAGTGTCAATTCACAGGTCTCGGAGGAAGCCTGCGTTTGACTTCATCCTCCTAGCACTGGTGGTAAATTTTACTTGTTCAGTATAAACTCGCTGAAGGGTGATCCAGCCACTGGAACGAGTCTGATAATTTACATTGTTTACAGACAGCATAAATGTAATATTAGATGGTGAACGACTGGGGAGTGCTTATAAATATAAAAAATATAAAAAAGCAGCTAGTGTGTTTTCTGATAGAGAGGATCAATATGTACATTTTTGCACTTTAAATTTATGGCAAGCATGAACATTACTCCAGATCGGCACAGGTCAACATATACATTATTCCCCATTAGCATAAGCCAACATCCAACAACTCACCGTCAGCATAACCATCACTTCAAATGATGATGAACCAAGATGGTAGCTTGTTAGCATGCTGCAGCCATATCCTGAAAATATTGATAACACTTTTGTTTCTTATAGTCAGTTTTCAAAAACAAAACAATCACTCTTTCACCAATAAACTTGACAAACTTATATCACAGCTAACTTCCCAGCGTGAACTCTGGGACTGCTGCATTTCTGTTTTTATGGAGACATGGTTCAATGACAGCATTCCAGATGCAGCCATTCAGCTTAATGTTAGACATAGGTTAGAATCCAAACTACCCTTGAGCTCAGACACTGCCAGACACAAAAGCCAGTGCTAATACATAGAAAGAAAGATACAGAGTAAAACTTAGCATAAGTGCAAGACAATGCATTTCAGTTACTACATGGATTAGCGCTCATTTAAAAAAAAAACAGCATACGATTTCAATACAGTATACTTTTTGTCTAATTAAGCGAATGTTTCCTCACATTCCACTAGCTCTCCATTTTGTGTTCGTGCTGGAAGAAAACTGGTGTTGGCCCTGTTAATGGGAAATAAATACAGTTTCTCAGGCCTAGCTGCATAACACTATTCTAGCCAAGCAGCAACAGGGGGCATTCATACTCATGCACAGGACGGGGGAAGGTTAGGAGCTGTGTGCTGAATTACACACAGTGTCAAGAAGGAGAGATGGCTCAGAAACAGCCAAAAAGGAGAAAATCTGAAGATTGAGAAAGAGGTTCTTTGATCAGGTAAGGACGTTTCAACAGTGGAAAGACCTGCTAGAGTTGACGGTGAGGTGTTTCAATGGTGGGAAGACCATTGAAAGTTGGCTAAGCTAAAGCTGGCTTTCTATTCACGTTTCAGCTCCACCTTAAATTGTGCAGCAGTTCCATTCTGACGCTTGAGGTGCCTGAATGTAACTGCTGCACCATTTAAGGTGGAAAAGGAAAATTCAAATATAAACCTGAGGTGCTGGAGTGTTACTGCTGCACCATTTAAGCTGAAGCTGAGGTGTCAGAATACATCTGCTGCAGCATTTAAAGAGGGATGGGAAAATCCAAGCAAGAAGCTGACAAAAAAGAAGCTTCAGCTTCATTGAGAGTTGAAAAGCATGAAAGGTATGGGGATGTTGCTCTATTTCTGACAGATGGGTAACATGAACTTATTTTTTGTTTTGTTTTTTGTTTTTTTGTTTTTTTAACTTTTCTAAAGTTTCTGAGAACCAGTAGGTCAGTCTTGTTTTTTCCTGTTTGGTTTGTTTAAGTTAGCAACCGGTTAGCTTCACAGTAGCAAATGTAGCTAACCAACAACCCCGCTAATGCTAGTTACATTTCTTGCTGTGTTTTTGTTTGCTCTTATGTTATATCATCATGGTATTTGTGTACACAAAAATTTGCTAGCCCAGTGTCATTTATCTTGGCATTACACATCCATAAATTTGAGGGACAGAGCTTCCGAAGAAGCATTGAAGGTAGGGGTGTATTTCTTTTGCTGAGGAGTTAAAAAACAATCATTTTTCCAGAATCATATACTGCACCTGTAAGTGCTTCATAAAAAGATGGGTCTTCAGTTTCCATTTGAAGACTGTGAGAGAATGCACTGTTTGGACAGCCAGTGGAAATTCACTCCACCATCTGGGTGCCAGGACAGAGAAGAATCTTGATGTAGGTCAAGCGGAGCTTGAAGTTCAAAGGGCTTGAGGTACAGATCAAGTTTTGATCACTGCCATAAGGTGGGAGGGGGTGCATTTTTGGCTTTGTAGGCAAGCATTAGGGTTTTAAATCTGATGTGGTCAGCTACAGGAAGCCAATGAGGGGAGCACAGTAGTGGAGTAACATGAGTGAACTTAACTGGCCATCCAGAATCACACCAAGACTTCCTGCATCTTCGACCAAGGAGTTCTTAATTGAAATGGCAAGATCATGATGAGGACCTGTGGTTCTGAAAGGCATTTCAGTCTTGCTAGGATTGAGCTTCAGGTAGTGAGGCGGTGCCATCCATGAAGAGATGTCAGTCAGACATGCTGAGATGCGACTGGAAACCTGCTTATCGGAAGACGGGAAAGATAGCATTAGCTAGGTGTTATCAGCATAGTAGTGGTAAGAGAAGCTGTAAAAAGATATTACATCACCAAGAGAATGAGTGTAGAGTGAAAAGAGACAAGGACCCAGCACTGAGCCTTGTGGGATACCAGTGGAGAGCCTGCCCGGAGCGAATGTGGACACTCTCCATATTACCCGAAAAGAGCCCCCCACCAGATAGGAGTCAAACCTTTTCCACGCAGATCCAGTGATTCCAGCGCTGGTGAAGACAAACAGAAGGATCTTCTGAGTGACCGTGTCAAAGGCTGCAGAACGGTCAAGAAAAATACAATGACAGTTTGGCTGATCTTGCTGCCTAGACCTACTCAGTCACTGCTATAAGGGCAGTTTCTATTGAGTGTGCTGGTTTGAAGCCAGGCAGGTTAGGGCCCTGGAGCTGGTTCTGAGTGAGAAAGAGAGACAGTATTCTTTGATGACAAGGAGCTGTTTATGATATGAAGTGTCGAAGGGCAGCAGGTCCATGGATGGGATGAGATCCAGTAGGAAGGTGGTTGAGCTCAGTGGGAAACATGCACACAAACACAAACACAGATGAAAGATAATATGTAAATGTTAATGTTTATGGAAGCTCGTATACTCTACTCTACCACAGTGACCTCTGCCTCACTCTCACATACTCTTAAAACTTGTTGCTGCCAAAATGCACACACTATAATTCTAAATGTTATTATGGCCGTATATGTATTGCCATTTTTTTATGAGGATGGGTAACAAGCACTTCTGTAAAGGTGCAATCCAGAAAACAAAAAGAGAATATCAAATGTTGCAGTTGGTGATACAGATTCTGCTTATTTATTAGAGAAGTAAAAGGTCTGATGGTAACTAGGACAGTCAGGTTCATGAAGCTAGTACAGATTGCTAATGTGAAAAAAATATACAAAAATTCCAGCGCTGGTGAAGACAAACAGAAGGATCTTCTGAGTGACCGTGTCAAAGGCTGCAGAACGGTCAAGAAAAATACAATGACAGTTTGGCTGATCTTGCTGCCTAGACCTACTCAGTCACTGCTATAAGGGCAGTTTCTATTGAGTGTGCTGGTCTGAAGCCAGGCAGGTTAGGGCCCTGGAGCTGGTTCTGAGTGAGAAAGAGAGACAATACTCTTTGATGACAAGGAACTTTTTATGATATGAAGTGTCGAAGGGCAGCAGGTCCATGGATGGGATGAGATCCAGTAGGAAGGTGGTTGGATTGCTGGATTTGAGTACCTGTAGGACATCATCTGTGGAAAGAGAAGAAAACCAGGTTGGAGAATTAAGAACAAGAAGACGAGGACTAAAGAAGAGAGTGAAGAGAAAGGAAAAAAGCTGGTGGTTTCTATTCATTTTCTCCTTAAAGAAGTTGACAGTACTCTGAGGTAAGAGAGAAGGGTGGTGTAGAAGATTGAGGGTTGAGGAGAGAGGAGAAAATAAAGAGCTTGTGTGGATCAGATGCTGATGCTTTCAGTTTCCCTCTGTAGAAAGGAGGGATAGAGTGCAGTTTGCATGGAGTGAAGAAAGAACATGAATCGGTGACATGTCTCCCAGAGGCTCCCAGTCAGATAAATAAGATTACTGGTATTGCAGTTCCTGCGATGATGATGGGGTCCTCTAGATCTGAAGGATGAGTAGATTGTATTGGTATTGAAAAACACATGCTAGAAGTGAAAAATGCAGGAATTAGAAGAGTCACATCTCGGTATTGATCATGAATTGAACAAATTAGTATGTCCACCTAGCAGCTACAGACGTAGCATTATGCTCCTTCAAGTCAGCACAGGACAACATAAACATTACTCCCATCAGCACAGACCAAAATGAGCATTACTCCTTATTAGCATCAAGTTTCCATTTTAAAATAAAGTGAATGGATATTCATGGATATATTAGAAAATTCCAAGACATCACCCCACACCGTGTGATCATTGTGTTTGACTGAAATATTTTTTCATTTTAATTTCATTCCTGATTTTAGAGACACACAAAAAAAGTTTTGGGGTTAAATACAGTTACTTAGTTACTGTTGCTGTCCAAATGCCCACCGATGTATGGCAGAACCCCACTGCTTTAGTTGTGATGAACTGAATAATAATTTTTTGCTGTTTGGCAGTAAGGTGTTCCATTTGTGTTTTTATTTATAACATTCTGATTACAAATGATTAATTGATTAACAAAAAATGTACAAAGTCAATAGTGTAACAGTAATTTTTTGTCTTTTCAGTATATTCCGTGATCTTATGTGTTACATGAGTGTAAATAAAATGAGAGCACTTCTGTTTCTGGCCTGTGATTCACCTCTCCTTCAATGTACTGCGGTTTAATTCATATAAATATTGTGTGTGTGTGTGTGTGTGTGTGTGTGTGTGTGTGTGTGTGAGAGAGAGAGAGAGAGAGAGAGAGAGAGAGAGAGAGAGAGAGAGAGAGATTGCAGTGTTCTGATGTATCATCATTTTTCTCCCAGGCTGCGTAATCTTGATCTCACAGAGAAAAGCTGTGCAGTTCTGGCCTCAGCTCTCAGCTCAGAGAACTCAACACTGACAGAACTGGACCTTTGTGGGAATGAACTGCTGCAGGATTCAGGAGTGAAGAAGCTCTGTGAGGGACTGAAGAGTAAAAACTGTAAACTAGAGACACTGAGGTAAGAACACTATCTCACTACACACTCAGACACATTCTCGCTCTCACACACACATGCTCTCTCTTTCACAGTAACCTTCTAAAATATACATGTGTCTCTCACTCACATATACGTTCCATGTAGAAAAGTGGGAAACATGCACACGAAACACAAACACAGATGAAAGATAATATGTAAATGTTAATGTTTATGGAAGCTCGTATACTCTACTCTACCACAGTGACCTCTGCCTCACTCTCACATACTCTTAAAACTTGTTGATGCCAAAACGCACACACTATAATTCTAAATGTTATTATGGCCGTATATGTATTGCCATTTTTTTATGAGGATGGGTAACAAGCACTTCTGTAAAGGTGCAATCCAGAAAACAAAAAGAGAATATCAAATGTTGCAGTTGGTGATACAGATTCTGCTTATTTATTAGAGAAGTAAAAGGTCTGATGGTAACTAGGACAGTCAGGTTCATGAAGCTAGTACAGATTGCTAATGTGCCTCCTATTTAATTTTTTTTTTTTTAAGTGAAATAAGTTAAACCTGTTTTAAAAGTTGTGGCAAGAATAGGAACTCTGATTTACTCATTTTAAATACAGAAATCACATTAAACACAACTCCAAATATCAGACCATAGTAGATGTAGAGCACTGTGTGTAGAGCAGGTTTGTCATTTAAACTTACTAAGGCAAGAGGAACAGCAGTTTTCATTTATAAAAAGGTGTGAAGTAAAATATTTAGGTTTTAAATATTTTTGTAAAATTTTTTCAACACATTACAGTGTTTAACTGAGCTGTTTCCATATGAGAGTACATTGAGGAAATCAAGTAAACACCAGTAATTAAAACTACAACTTTGAAAGTAAAAATATTTGAATGTAAATGTTTTTAAAAATTATTTAAGCCTAAAGATTATCCACATTTGAAAGCTGATGCGTTTTGCTCTGATTTGGAATTGATCATTTTCTGTTAGCTATCTGCTGACCTGATCATCCTGTTCTAATGAGGGCAAATAAGATCAAAGATCATTGCTGATGCTTTCATAGAAGTTTCCCTCTTAAAGTACAAAATATGTGAAATATGTTGTCACCTAGTCTAGTATGTTATCACTGAGCTCTGATCACCTCTGCTTTCTAATAACAGTCACTGGTGCATTACTAAGAAATTTGCAAGTGTTAAACAGGTGTTTTATGTACATTTCTAGTGGTGTGTAGTGTGTAGTATTGTAGAAACGGATTTGCTACCTCTTCTGATTTAAATGAGCTTTTTTTAGCTCTGCTCTCATAGAACATGTTTTATGGTTTGATGGTTATTCACACACCAAAAGCTCAACCCATCTGAATATTTTGACAAATCATATTAAAGTGGATCACAAGCTTTACTCGCTAAGTGATTTGAGCCGAAGTGCCGGACCAAAAGACATGCAGAATGTGATGTTCATGGAGAATAAAACATATCAAGATAAGTATATTTTGTGTTTTCTAAACTGCATTTCTCTCTATACGTTGATGCATCTTGATAAAAGTGTAGTTATAAGTATATCCTGCAGATTATGATATGCATACCATAGCTGTAATTTAAACTCTTCCTGTTATGAAATCTAAAAAATAGCCTTGTAAAGTGTGAGCCTCAGGTTCCAAGGGTTAGTTAAGTTGTGCCTGTGTTCATTTGCATGAAGGTTCTTAGTATATAACCTGCTGATTTGGCAACAATGAAATGGTGAAGTTTTGGAAAGTAAAAAGTCACAATGATTTTTACAGTTTGCATAATTGTGAGTGCTTATAAATCTTTGCAGTCTTAAGGAGTGTAAATATTTAGAGATGGGATCGTTTATCTCTTTCATATTCCAGATGTCTTAGTGTATATTCCGCAACTGGCATTTCACTGGTTTCATTGACAGGTGTTTTTTTTTCTTTGACCTATATTATAGTTGTTCCTGAAAATAAAAAGAGTAGCACTGCAGGAGGTGGTTGATGCCAAAACAGCAATGCAAAGTGGCAAAATCCCCAAATGGATGGCTACTTGGTCAGGTTTTATAAGCGGTTCTAGCCAAATTAGCTCACTTTTTTCTCAAATTAGCTAACCTTTTTCTCAAAATCTCATTTGTTCAGACACACTGAGACAAGGCCTCACAGAGGCATCCATCTTGTTTCTTGTGAAGCCAAGCAGGAATGCACATCAGTGCAGCTGTTACAGGCCAATTTCACTTAAAAATATGCAAACCCAACTCCAAAAAAAGTTAGGAAAGTAGGTAAAAATTAAATTAAATTACAACAGAGGCTCATGAATCTACCTTGACTTGTATGTGTGCACAAACAGTACAAAGACAAGATATTTAATCTTTTAATTGATACCAACAACATATTTAAAAGAAAACTTGGGACAGGAGCAATTTAAGACTAGGAACATTGTGAAATGTTAAAACAGAGGATCTAATAATGTTTGGATATTAAAGAACCATCTAGGAAATTCTTAATTCTTCATGAGCAAGCATGGGTCAAGGCTTAGCACTTTGTGAAAAGTGCATCAGCAAATAGTTGAGCCTGTATCTGAGATGTTTTCTTAGCTTGGTCTTTTTTGTGATTTTAAAGGCTAAAACTTGTTTAGCCTTTATTTTATTCATCATCATGTTTCTTACAAATGTGTCATTTGACAGGATCAGGATGGATTGGGTAGAAAAACTAAGTATACAATATCTGATGAACATCAGAGATTTACCCACAAGTTTTAATCTCGTTTTAAGCTGAGAGGCTTCTGGTCAGCTATATTCAACATCCTGAATGAAGCATTTGATTGAGGTGTTCAGCATAATGCCTACTGCAGAAGAATACTGTTTGAATGAAGATCACATCAAAAACATTGGCATGGCTCAATGACCTAATACTGTTTTAAAGCTAAAAAAGATTAGAGACATGATGCATGATCGCTCTTGAGAAATTAATGTAAGAGAATATGAGGGTACATGGGTCATCAGTTTTATTGTTAATGGCAATAATTTCTCTCTTATGTAGATGATCTTTTCTGTATACTCATATCAGAATATTCTGGGCTTAGAGTTACAAGGTTCAGTCTGCATTCAGTGCAGTTTTTAGATATTGAAGCTCAAATATTTCAGTTGCAGAACTCTTATGTACTACAATTAACTTCCACATTTTAAGTCACTGGTTTGAGGCACTATTGACTGCTAAACATTAAAATCCCAGGATATTTGGAAAAGGTCTTTTCTAGCACTGACCAAACACTGTTAAAAATACACTATATTGCCAAAAGTATTCGTTCGTCTGCCTTCACACGCATATGAACTTGAGTGACATCCCATTCTTAATCCATAGGGTTCAATATGATGTTGGCTCACCCTTTGCAGCTATAACAGCTTAAACTCTTCTGGGAAGGCTTTCCACAAGGTTTAGGAGTGTTTATGGGAATTTTTGACCATTCTTCCAGAAGCGCATTTGTGAGGTCAGACAATGATGTTGGATGAGAAGGCCTGGCTTGCAGTCTCTGCTCTAATTCATCCCAAAGGTGTTATATCGGGTTGAGGTCAGGACTCTGTGCAGGCCAGTCAAGTTCTTCCACACCAAACTTGCTCATCCATGTCTTTATGGACCTTGCTTTGTGCACTGGTGCGCAGTCATGTTGGAACAGGAAGGGGCCAAACTCCCCAAACTGTTCCCACAAAGTTGGAAGCATGAACTTGTCCAAAATCTCTTGGTCTGCTGAAGCATTAAGAGTTCCTTTCACTGAAACTAAGAGGCCGAGCCCAACTCCTGAAAAACAACCCCACACCATAATCCCCCCTCCACCAAACTGAGTTGCTGTCATTCCCAATCGCTTCCACTTTGTTATAATACCACTAACAGTTGACTGTGGAATATTTAGTAGTGAGGAAGTTTCACGACTGGACTTGTTGCACAGGTGGCGTCCTATCATGGTACCACGCTGGAATTCACTGAGCTCCTGAGAGCCTACTAATGTCTGTAGAAGCAGTCTGCAGGCCTAGGTGCTTGGTTTTATACACCTGTGGCCATGGAAGTGATTGGAACACCTGGATCCAATGATTTGGATGGGTGAGTGAATACTTTTGGCAATATAGTGTATCTATAGTATCTTGAATTCTCAATGTTGTCTGTACTTTATAAATAACAGTGTGTCATGCAGCGTCAGAAACCAAATGTAATCAAGTTTTTTTGAGATTACTGAACAACTCCAAACAGTTTGAAACAGATGTGTGATGATTTAAACTTAAAGAGACTTTAAAGATTCAATTAGTTTCTTTTTACAAAGGCTAAAGAAAGACTTAATATACAACCCTATTTCTAAAAAAGTTGGGGACTGTGCAAAATGTACACAAAAACAAAATGCAATGATGTGCAAATCATTTAAACCCTCTCTTTAGTTGAAAAAAGTACAAAGACAACATATGTTGCAACTGAGAGATTTTATTGTTTTTTTGAAAAATGTATGCCCAATTTTAATTTGATGCCAACAATACATTCCAAAAAAGTTAGGACGGGGCAACAAAAGGCTGGTAAAGTAGTGTAATACTAAAAAAAAAACACCTGGTGGCTGGATATCATGTCAGTAACATGATTGGGTATACAAGAGCATATATATATATATATATATATATATATATATATATATATATATATATATACACACACACACACATACACATATACACTAGTGTGAGAAAGTGTTTGCCCCTTTCCTGATTTCTTATTCTTTTGCATGTTTGTCACACTTAATTGTTTCAGATCGCCAAACAAATTTAAATATAAGATAACACAAGTAAACACAAAATGTAGTTTATAAATGAAGATCTTTATTATTAAGGGAAAAAGAAATCCAAACCTACAGGACCCTGTGTGAAAAAGTGATTGCCCCTAAACCTTATAACTGGTCGGGCCACCCTTAGCAGCAACAACTGCAATCAAGCGTTTGCGATAACTGAGGTCTTGAGGTCACGAACAGATGGCTGGACATTCTCCTTCAGGATTTTTTGGTAGACAGTAGAATTCATGGTTCCATTTACCACAGCAAGTCTTCCAGGTCCTTAAGCAGCAAAACAGCCCCAGATCATCACACTACCACCACCATATTTTACTGTTGGTATGATGTTCCTTTTCTGAAATGCTGTGTTACTTCTACGCCAGATGTAATGGGACATACACCTTCAAAAAAGTTCATTTTTTGTCTCGTCAGTCCACAGAGTATTCTCCTAAAAGCCTTGTTGATCATCAAGATGTTTTCTGGCAAAACTGAGATGAGCCTTTATGTTCTTTTTGCTCAGCAGTGGTTTTCATCTTGGAACCATGTAGGCCATTTTTGCCCAGTCTCTTTCTTATGGTGGAGTCATGAACACTGACCTTAACTGAGGCAAGTGAGGCCCACAGTTCCTTAGATGTTGTTGTGGGGTCTTTTGTGACCTCTTGGATGAGTCGTCGCTGCGCTCTTGGGGTAATTTTGGTCAGCAGGCCACTTCTGAGAAGGTTCACCACTGTTCCATGGAATTGCCATTTGTGGATAATGGCTCTCACTGTGTGTTGCTGGAGTCCCAAAGCTTTAGAAATGGCTTTATAACCTTTTCCAGACTGATAGATCTCAATTACTTTGTTTCTCATTTGCTCCTGAGTTTCTGTGGATCACAGCATGATGTCTAGCTTTTGAGGATCTCTTGGTCTACTTCACTTTGTTAGGCAGGTCCTATTTAAGTGATTTCTTGATTGAGAACAGGTGTGGCAGTAATTAGGCCTGGGTGTGGCTAGGAAAATTGAACTCAGCTTTCCAAAGATGTGATAAACCACAGTTAAGGTGGTGACAGAAAATATAGTTAATGATCAGCATTTCATAGTTAAATGAACATTTTATATGAACTTTCCGTTTGAGTCCGTTCTACAGTTTCTCATTAGGCTGAATGAATAACTGACTCTAAATGTAGGTATTGTGATATAAACTGAGTCCGTTCTACAGTTTCTCATTAGGCTGAATGAATAACCGACTCTAAATGTAGGTATTGTGATATAAACTGAGTCTGTTCTACAGTTTCTCATTAGGTTGTCTGTTACTCATTACTTCATTGTGTATTGTGTGTGTGTCTGTTGAGTTGTGTGATTCATTTTGTCTTCTCTCTGCAGGCTGAGGACCTGCAGTATTAAAGGTGAAGGCTGTGCTGCTCTGGTTAAAGCTCTGAAATCAAACCCCTCATCACACCTGACAGAGCTGGATCTGAGCGACAATAAGCTTGGAGATTCAGCAGTGAAGAAGCTCTCTCTACTACTGAAGGACTCAGAATGTAAACTGCAGATACTACAGTAAGCTGCTGACTTAATTGATGAGTTCGGAATAGCACACTGTTTACTTAAACACGTGTAGTGGAGGATGTGGGCACCCTTTGCCTATTGATGCTTTATTTATTTATTTGTTTGCTTGTTTGTTTGTTTTTTGGCTGAGGCCTTTACCAAGAGAGGTTAGTGATGTTCAACACAACAGTCAAAACCATCAAATTCAGCTAGAGGGTCTCTAATGTCCTGCTTTCCTTTTGAAGAATTATTATCACAAAAGTTGCTGGTATATGTGTGTGACACAGTGAGCTGGATCATGTTAGCCAGATGATAAAGACAGCAAACGGGAGAGTAGAGTTACCTAGCATTACAGTATTACTAAATTACTTAATTCTGCAGCCCTCCACAATTCACATTAGCAGGTGAGCTTATGGCAGAGCAATAATTCCAACTCTGATGCTCACCTAATAGATGATACCACTGCATGGCATCAACTGGAATTTTTGTGTCCAGCCTTACTTTCAGCCATCGTTGTCAGCTTATGAAACAAGGCTGAAGTCAGCTTCTTTTCTGAATTTTCAGTTCCACAATAAATGGTACAGCTGTAACATTTGAGTGCACTGAGGCACCAGAATGTCACTGCTGCACTGTTTAAGGTGGACCAGAAAATTCTAAAAAGGATGGCAAGAAGGAAGCCAAGTTCCGCCTTGTTTTGTCAGCACATTCGATTAAACACTTTATTATGGAGTCATGTATAAAGACATTAAGCATCACAAGTGGCTATATTTCTCTTCTTCACCTCATATGTTAATGTAAGACTAGCTATATACTCTTCGGCTGCCACGTTTTTAGATAAAGCTGATTATATATATATATATATATATATATATATTGCCATTCTACATACACAGAGCAGAATACTGTGAGCAGATTATTATCATGAAACACTTATTCTGATTTACTAGGATTCAATCAAGATTTATAAATTTAGCACTTTTTACAACAGGCATCGTCTGAAAGCAGGTTTACAGAAAATCCAGGTGCGAGCCCCAAAGAGCATTGCTAAGGGTGAAAGCAGCAACAAAAACACCCTCAGAGCAAGAGGAAGAAACCTTGAGAGGAACCAAGACTGGAACAGAGAATCCATCTTCCACTGGTCATCACTGAATATTAAAATAAAAATTGAACAAGAGCTACATGAATTTATTATTAAGTACAATCAAGTCATTTCTGACTCCTGGTGACCATATGGACAGTGTTTCTCCAAAAGATCCTGTCTTCTGTTTGGGTCTTCTCAAAGGTTGGTTCATGAATCTTCTGATTGTCTCCATCCATTGTATAGCTGGTTATATGTTCCGCATACAGGTTGATCAAGTATGGTGATAGTATGCAGCCTTGTCTAACTCCTTTGACAATGTGGAACCATTCTGTTTGTCCATTTTCTGACCTGACTGTGGCTTGTTGATCAGTGTAGAACAGTGAGATGCTCTGGTATTCTCATTTTTCTGAGGACATTCCATAATTTAACATGGTCAACACAGTCAAAGGCTTTCTGTAGTAGATGGAACAGATGTTGGCTTTTTCAATGATCCAGTGGACATCCTCAATAATATCTCTTGTTCCTCTGCACTGAACGATCTTAATATTTGTTGGCATAATTTGGTCAGTACTGAATCTTCTTCAGAATCTAGAAAAATTTCTATTGCATTGTTATTGATTCCTGTGGCTTTCTTCTTTGCCAGTGATCTCAAGCCTTGTCTGACTTCAGCTTCTAGCGTGGGTCTTCTATGTAGCTGATGTCAACAAAAGTTTCTTGTCAGTTGATATCTTTTTGTAGAGGACATCTGTGTATTTCTTCCATCTTTGTTTGATTTTGTTTAATCTGTGATGATTTGTCCATTAACATCTCTCAGATTTCAGACACATGCCTGAAATTTATCTCCTGTGTCTTCTGAAAAACAATACTTGGTTTTCCCCATTTGTTCCCATTTTCAGTATCTTTACAGATGTTGTAGTATTGGTCTTGTTCTTCCTGGCATCTCTCCAGAATTAATGTTTTAGTTCTCTTAAAATATATTTGTCCTTCTTGATTTTGGCTTCTCTTCTTCTTCTTTTTCTCCACTACTCCACTCTACTATCATGAGACATCAACTTTGGTTTCTTTCTCCTTTTCATTCCTACCAGGTGATTCTGATCCTCTGATTCTTCTTTAATGATCTCTTTGAGTTTCATCTATAGCTCTTCTGGTGCTCTGTCAACTATGTCTAGAACTTGAAATTAATTCCTGAAGTTTTCTTTGAAGACAGGTGGTATGTTCTTCAGGTCATATTTTGGACATCTGATGATTTGATTGTTTTATTTTCATAATTTTGGATATTAGTAGTTCATGATCTGTTCCATAATCAGCCCCAGGCCTTGTCAAAGTCTTGTCAATAAAAATGGAGCTCTTCCATCTCTTGGTGCAAAGAATGTAGTTTATTTAGTTTTGGTGAATGCCATCTGGTGATGTCCAGATGTACAGGCATTGTTTTGGTTGCTTGAAAAATTATTTAGTAATGAAAGACATTGCACTCACAGAAGCCGACTAGTTGTTCTCCTGCTTCATTCTTGTTTCCAGGACCATGTTGTCCAACTGTATTTTCCTCCATATTATTTCCAACCCTACTAATTTGGTCTCCAGTCACCAGCAGTATGTCTTGTTTGCAGGTGTTGTCTATTTCAGCCTAAGTTTGATCATCCATCGTTGTTTGCATCCATTGTTGGGGCATAACCTTGAATGTCTGTAATGTTGAATGGTTGTGCATGAAATTGGATTGACACAGTCGATCATTCACAGCACTGTATCCAATAACAGTCTTGTTGACATCCTTGTTGACAGTAAAAGCCAAGCAAAGTCCATTTCATCGTCATTGTTTGTGACCTGAGTAGTAGATGGTGTGTTCCCCTAATTGAAAGTGTCTTAATCCAATCTAATTCAGCTCACTCATCCTGAGGATGTTGATGTGTATATAATCCATTTCCACCTTCACTACTTCCAGCTCGCTGTGATTCATACTTCATGCATTCCAAGTTCCAACTGTGATTCAACAATCATTCTCTCTGTTGTGTCTATTCCGTGGTGTCTATCCATGTGGTTTTCTTGGTAAAGTACAGAAGTGGTTTACCATTGCTTTCTTCTGTGCAGTTGAATTGATCTCTTGCCATTGTCATCTTTGTGATCATCCACCAGTGACATTGTCTTATATTGCTGCTGCCTAGTACAGCTGGTAGGTTTAGTGTGGCTCCTCTGCTATGACCTTTCTGCCATGGGAGACCATAAAAAGAGTTACAACTCCAGGCAGAATAGCTATCTGCTTCTCTAATTCTGCTTTAATGACTGTGTGCACTCAAGCTGAAAGTTTGTGTAAAAGCCTCTGATCAGAAGATCAAATCCACCTGAGAGTCTATGAAGAACAGCTCCACTGGAATAGTTAAGACTGAAAAAAAGATTCATGAAGACCTTAACGTGATCAATGTTAGATGTTACCTTCAATTTGAATAGTGACCTAGAAGTGAAGTGTCAGATATTTCTTCTCCATTTTAATTGTCAGAACTTTTCTTTGCTTTAAACTATTCAAGATTCTAAAATTTTCTGTTGTTTATTTCCAGGTTTAAATGAAAAAAACACCAGATTTTTAGTGTGGTCTCAGACTTTTGGACCCCACTGTAGGTCTAGGTGGGAACATAATGGGAAATATGCAGGGAGTTCCATGGTGGTCATACTGATTCAAAACATGGGCAAGCAGGGGCACCTGATCAAAGCTCATAAAGCAATAGCATCAGCCTACACAGGATGGGCAGCTGTTCAGCTTGGCAAAGAAAACACACAGACAGTTAGTTATGTTAGGCATGACTGTTTACAGTTTACAGTGTAACAGAGTTCAGCAGAGACTCTGGCAGGTTGAGGTATTACAGCCTCACTAAAAGGAGAAGCCAGAAGGTAACAAAGATGTGAGGGCACCCTGAGATGTCAGCTCCCTTCCACACCACTATCAACAGACTAATGAATATCTAGACAAGGACCAGGACTTCTGGAACACTGTGCTGTGGACAGACGAGTCAAAGATAGAGTTGCATGCCAACGGTACCAGATGCCATGCTTGCTGAAAACAGCATTTAATGAGAAGAACATCATACCAACTGTAAAACACAGTGTGAAAATGTTCTCATTTGGGGCTGCTTTGCTGCCACAGGACCTGGCCAGTTTGAAACCATAGAATCTCTTTGAATTCTCTTTCATACCAGAGTGTGCTTGAAGAGGATAAGAGACCATCTGTAAAACAATTGGAGCTGAAGATGTGGACCTTCCAACAGGATAACTTTTGAGTGCTATATAGGGCTGCAGTTATAGATTATTGTAGTAATCAGGTATTCTTCCGTAATTGAATAGAATTGTTTTTTTGCTTTGATAAAAGCAATAGTAAATATACAAAAAAAATAAATAAATAATAAGCCAGGTCTCTTAAAACAAACAACGAATTGGTTTCCTTTATAGAAAAATCAGCATTTGTATTGCTTAAATTACATACAATAATATTATCTGTCAACACTAAACCCATTCAGTGCATTTATGTGCCATATTACAGTCTGGGTTCAAAAGGAAACATTTTCTGAAATGCAAATACAAGTAAATAAATAAAAAATAATATTTTTTCAAATTATAAAAATAAAAGTATACATGCATCTAAGGCATAATAACATTCATTGTCCGTTTTATCAGCTCCACTTATTATATAGATACTATTTGTAGTTCTACAGTTACAGACTGTAGTCCATCTGTTTCTCTGCATACTTTTTAGCCCCTTTTTACCATGTTCTTCAGTGGTCAGGACCCCCATGGACCCTCACAGAGAAGGTATTATTTGGGTGGTGGATCATTCTCAGCACTGCAGTAACACTGACGTGGTGGTGGTGTGTTAGTGTGTGTTGCGCTGGTCTGCGTGGATCAGACACAGCAGTGCTACTGGAGTTTTTAAACACCTCAGTGTAAC